AAAAAAGCAAATCAAAGGAATAGAAATAAATAGGCTTAAAAGAATGAAAGAAGAGGAGGAGGAAGAGGAAAAAGGAAGTTGAAAGGATTTTTGAGAGGAGAAGATTGAGAATAGAGAGGGGGTTCTTATTAGGAGGATAAGGATTTGCAATCAGTTTTGTTCGAGGGAACGATTTCATCCTCTTGAAACACAAACTCGACGACAATTGATCGTCCACTCTGATGACCAACCATTCAGCTTTCTTACTTCATTACTGCATCTTATCCCGTTACCCACTTCAAACCACTTTTGAATCAAAAGAAGTAATCACCAAATTTGTATACTTTGACCATCGTGAACATTCACAGCCTATCTTTTTACCTCTATTAGCTATTCAATTTTCTTTCATCTTATTGCACCATCAAATATAACTATTCAATTATCACTATAAAATATTTGATTAAATAATATCAATGGATATTACATGTATCAATGAATTTCTAAAACGTAAATGCAAAATTATGCATCTATTACTGACAACAAATATTACTGATAACAAAAAAAAAAAATCACTGATAATAATAACTATGACATAATAAGCTGATAATAATAACTGATAATAATAACTATGACATAATAAGCCATTTTTAGGTATAGGCTTTAATTAATGACTTATTTGAAAAACAGTAATGGAAATTATACATCTATTATTGATAACAAATATTACTGATAGCAAAATCATGAATATTAGTGACAACAAAAGATATTACATGTATCAATGGATTTCTAAAATATAAATGCAAAATTATGCATCTATTACTGATAGCAAATATTACTGATAACGAAATCATGAACATTGTTGATAACAAACAAAAAAAATCGCTGATAATAAAAACTATGATATAATAAGCCATTTTTAGGTATAAACTTTAATTAATGACTTATTTGAAAACAGTAATGGAAATTATACATCTATTACTGATAGCAAATATTACTGATAACAAAATTATGAACATTGTTGATAACAAACAAAAAAATCGCTGATAATAAAAACTATGATATAATAAGCCATTTTTAGGTATAAACTTTAATTAATGACTTATTTGAAAACCAGTAATGGAATGATAATTATACCATAATTCCTTATAGATTTACAATCAGGAAATGCTTGCAGATGAT